GGGGGGTGATTTCTCACTTTCTGTCTCTCTGTCTCTCTCTGTCTTTCTGGAGCAAAAACCTCTCCAAAAAAAGAAAAAAAAAAAAAGACAGAGAGAGACAGAAAGCGAGAAATCACCCCCCAGGGGGGATGGCCACGCTGCAGTCCCTTCTCCTCCATTCTGCTCTTGGAATCTTGTGCACGCATGCACATGCTCCTGGCATGAGTTTAAGCCACTGGGCCTGGGACTTCAACAGCGGTCGAGTACATGGGAGTCCAGTGACATAGCCATTACGCTAACTGCTGATCCCTCAGGGAGTGATTCTCACTTTCTATCTCTCTGTTTCTCTCTGGCAAGTGCACACATCCTATAATAAAATTCTCTTAAAAAATGAAGTAAAATATAGAAATGTCCTTGTGTCAAATCAAAGCTTTTCTCCCTATAGTTCCCCCATGTACCTCAGTTCTGCCTTCTGGGCCACAGAAGAGGGCTGCTCCCTTTTTCACTGGTAACTCTGGGGATATCTGAAGGAACTCTCCCCCTCTTCAACTCTAGTTCCAACAACCATTTCTTCTAGGACATAGTTTCCAGTCCTCTCTCAAGCCTGGTCACCACCTCGAGACCTATCCTGTGGGTTGGTGTCCTCAGCATGTGAGGAGTATTAAGGCCAGAATGGAATAGAAAAGAACTCCCACCTGCATTGTCCTTCTTAATGCAACTTAATGTCACACTTCAACACACACTATCACACTCTGACTCTGAGCAGAGCACCCCCTTGAGAACAGCTTTCTCTCACACCTGCTGGGTTCAGCCACACTTCTTAGACCTTGTACTCAAAGACCTAGACTAAACCTGGCCAGTTACAGAGGAGATCATGCAGATTCCTAGGCTTTCCCCCCAGATCCAAGTGCTGATGGTTGTCAATGACTGTGACTCTACCCTATGGTGCCTAGGCTTACCTGTAGACGCCAGATCCGCTCACTCTCCTTGGAGACGTTCTCCACGGTCTCTCCCATGAGGGCAATGAGCATGTTGAGGAGGAGAACGAAGGTAAGGATGACATAGGTGATGAGCAGGAACAGGAAGAGGATGGGGTACTTGGAGTTCTGCTGGATGTTCAGGTCGCCAAGCCCTATGGTGAGCTTGAAGAGTTCCAGCACGGCGTCACTGAAGCTGCCATAAGAGGTGCAGTCCTTGTTGTCCTCAGCACACTTCTCGATCAGCGAGGCCAGGGCTGGGAGGACAAAGCAAGGTGGTCTTCAGCTTCTCTGTCTGGTTAGTTACCCAACAAGCTGCTTTTATTTGCATGCACACACACTGCAAGCTTTCTGCCTCCTCTCTGGTCACATAAGTCCCATCTCCAGCATCAGACCCTCTGGAAGCCTCATCAGGCTGGATTCTCTGCACTGATCTATTGCAGAGAGCCTTGCCCATCCAAGAAAGCCCACACTCTTCTCTTTCTCCTCCACCATACATCCGGGGCTTTGCTCACCTGCAACCTTGCAGAGCTGCTAATTATAACCTCTGTGTGTCCTTGGCTCTCTACCTAGGTCTGAGCTCTCCCAAGACTCTGAGATCCTGAGTCTTCCTAATGCTCTGTCACAAGGCCTGGAATTTGATATTGTCTTCTTTCCAACAAGTCACAGTAGTGGTTCATTGTTGAGTGAATGAATACATGGATGGATGAATGAATGAATAAGCACATGAATGATGGCATAAAAAAGCACATTTTGACCCAGGGAAGGTACAGCCAGATTAGACAGCTATTTAATTTCAAATGCCAGTGATCACTGAAAATACTAAACATGGGGAGTAGAGGGGGACATACCTTTCTAAGCAGAGATTAGAAATAAAATCAAGTCATGCTATTCCTCCTGTAGTAAAGAGATTTTAAGAGAGCTCTCCCCATTCTGGGTCCCTTGCAGACCTGAGCGCTCACAGATACACACCTCAAGCAAACTGTGAGAGGAAGGTATATGGAGGGTCAAAAGACATCACCTGGAAGGATTACTTTGCTCCTATTTTTCTAAGACCATTCATCAAATTCCTGTGAACTTTAGTTTCTCTGTCTATAAAATGGGGCTGAAAACAGCTGCTGAGCCTATCTTAAGTTGTGAGGGTCACATGAGATGATGTACAGGAAAGTGAGAGGCATCCTCCTAGTGCTGTGGCTAAGTGCTGTGCTTTGGGAACCGGATCCCACATGTCTGACCACGGTTCAAGTCCCAGCCGCAGCAGCTTGAGAGACATGCCAGGCATATGTGTGAGCATATGTGCCCAAACTCCTGAAGGGAGGGAGGAGTGAAAGAGAAGAGATTGTGGTGTTGCCATGCCCATTGGGGGTGCTCTCTCTCTCGCTCTCTCTCGCTCTCTCTGGCAAGCACACATGCCCTGTGACAATTAAAAAAATTAAAACAACAATGACAACAAAGAAAATGAGCGGCATGGACAGGGAAGAGGGACAGGTCTGAGTCTCTATGCCTCAGTTACTTTATCATCCAGGATGATGATTTCCACTTGACCAAGTTGTTGAGCGAAGTAAAAATGCTAAGCCCGGCAAGTTCCCCCGCCCCGGGGTAGCTGTGAGAAAGGCTGCCAGAGTGCTATGCGCTTTGTCATTCTGGAATCTGTATGAGGTGCTCTGCCAGTGTGGAAGTTGCTATTACTTATAAATCAACTTTACCTACTCCAAATCCAAGTAAGAACACAATATATACAAACAGGAACTTCAGGACATCATGCAAAATGACCTACAAAGAAGCAAACATGATTGACATGTGAGATTTGAGCACACACTGGCTGCACCCTGCTCTCCTTACTTCTTCCCAGCCCCTACCCTAACCACAGCTTCTCTCAGGCCATGTCACCTTCACCTGACTGAAACCCCTTGACCCTCCAAGACTCCGTCTAGGCCCTGCCTCCTCCAGGAAGCCTTCATTCTTGCTCCAACCCTAGGTTCTCTCCTCTCTCCACCTCCTGGAACACAGTCTGTCCCTGTTCCTACTGATTCCCCCTATACCTGTCTCCATGGGACCAAATCACTGAAATCCTCACACTTTTCCAGAGGGAAAAGGGATGATGGAGCCAGCTCATACCAGCTCACAAGGACAGAGTATTAAATTCTCACGAGGTTTCTGTCCTGGTTGTTCAGCACAGCCGTTGTTAACTGAATCAGACTTTCAGTTAGAAGAGGAACAAGTTCTGGGCTGGCCTCAGAGCAGAGCAACAGGTCCTATACATAGGGACCTAGATCCCACGTGGCTATTGTGATTCAAGGCCCAGCCCCAGCAGCTAGAGAAGCGTGCTGAGTGCATGAGCGTGGGTGCCCAGGATCCTCATGTGGTGGAGAAACAGAGGGAAAAGAGTGCAGCGTGACTGCGCCCACTGGGCTGCTTCCTCTTCCTCTCTCTCACCAGCTAGCACACATGCCCTCTAGTGATCGTGTGTGTGTGTGTGTGTGTGTGTGTGTGTGTGCGTGTGTGCGTGTTTATTTTTCAAATATTTATAGGTCCTAGAGATCTAATGGATAGCACAATGACATGGTTAACAATTCTGTATTGCATACTTGGAATTTATTGAGAGTAGACTGTAAATATTCTCAACACACACACATAAAAAAAAACTAACTTGAAATTGATCATCATTTCACAATATATACATATATCAAATCCTCACACTATAAACCTTCAATCTTTACAATTTGTTTGTCAGTATACCTCAAAAGCTTAGAACAAAGTTGTGTGGCAAAAAGTAAAATCAACCATATAAATCTACAATTAAGCAATGTTGAAAACAAAGATCATAACTGTTCCAAAACCATGATTTGCTAGTTATTTTGCTACACGTTACAATCATACTTCTGAGGTTATTTAGGTCCATGGTAGCCATAAGGTGGACATATTATATAATGGGGTAACCATGCACCTCTTCCCAGCTCTGTACGCAGTGACATAATGTTGGCAGTTGGAACTAGGCCACGGGAAGATATTCACACCAAGAAAACTGGTAAATATTACAAATCACAGGCTGACTCATTGTTTTGCTGATGTCTAGATCTAGAATGACGACAGCAATGGAGAAAATGTTAAGGCAGATTAAATTTTAAAATATGTCCCGTCTGTAGCCATTACATCGTGAACAGCACACAAACGCGCAAACTATTAGCCAAGTGGCAAAAAATACTGCTCACATCACTGACAAACTAAAGTTTCAACACAGGTCTTCATTGCTTCACTTTCATCTCACTGCTTCTAAAGAAAAATACCAACCAACATCCCTGTCGGAATAATGCCCACTTGTCAATTGCAACCATAAGTTAACAACAGACAATAGAGGTCAATAATACAACAAATCATTCTTCGAGACTCAGCTGGCTAGGTGGAATTTACATAAGGTGTACTGCATATCTTATTATTATTTGTGAACTATGTGCCACATGTCTTTTGTATCATAAAATTTATAATAAATGTTTGACTGTGTATACAGGTGTACATGTGTGTATATGCATGTGTATATGTGTGCACATGTATGTATATACCTACATGTGTATGCACACACACACACACATATTCCCCTTTCGCCAGAGAGTGGTGTTAAATATTTACCACCATAGCAATGCCCAAGAGGAGTAACATTCCTTCAAAGTGTATACCTTCCCAGAGCCCAACAAGCCCAAGCATTTTAAGACTTGGGACACTTAAAGCTCAACTAAAAGCAATGAGAGGCCATGGCATTCAGGAAAAATAGCCATAGCCTAGCCCTTATCACAACTCTTTTCCTCTCTTTTCCTCATTAGACCTCAGTTTCCTCATCTGTAAAATGGACATTCTCTGAGGGCCCTCCTGCCCATGCTGCTGTGGACGCACCTTCTGGATCATGACGCTGTACATGCCCATGGACTGGAACCCTCGCGTGTAGTAGAGCATGTTCGCCCAGCCCAGGGCCATGGCCAGCACGAGGCAGGCGAGGTACTCTTTGTAGGCAAACAAGTACAAGAAGACAGACAGTATCACAAGCACAGCTTGGATAAAACTGTTCAGGAGACACAGGAGACAAGGGCCTTACTTACTTCTCAGCCTCAGGGCGGAGATATTCAAACCCCTCACACCGCCCTGGACCCCCCTGAGAGGTCACTCAGTGGCTGAGTCTGGACTCAGAGTCACTCAACTACATCTAAAATCCAGCTCATAGGGCCACCTGGGAGTGCAGCGGTTAAAAAAAATAGGGATCTGGAACCCATGTGGTCAACTGCAGCTCAAACGCCAGTCCCAGCGCTTTGAAAAATACATTGTGCACCCTGGGCATGTGTGCCCAAGGTCCTCATGGGGTGGACAAATGGAGGAGAAGAGATATGGTGTGACCACAGTCCACTGGGGATACTTCCTCTCTCTCGCTCGCTCTCTCTCTCTCTCTCTCGCTCTCTCTCTCGCTCGCTCTCTCTCTCTCTCTCACTCTCTCTCTCTCTCTCTCTCTCAATGACAAATACACATGACCTCTGGCAATTAAAAAAAAATTAAAATCCAGCCTTGGGAATAACATTGCCAGATTCAAGTCAGGACCAGTGGCGAGTTGGGTGAAGTTAAAAATAAATAAATAAATCCAGATCCCCAAGGCCTGAAGTGATTCAGGGCTGTAGCCCACTAAGCTGCATTTTTCAATCACCCACCTGATTTCTGATTCCCATACAGATTTGAGAGCCACTGGGTAGACCAAAGATGTGGCAAATGATGGCATTTTTAACCAAAATGACAAAACTGCCAACATCTGTATTATAAGTTAATCACAACCAATCTACTTTTTTATCTTAAAAGAAAATATGGTACGCACTAAGTGAAATAAGCCAGTTACCAAAAGACAAATACTGTATGATTCCACTTACATGAAATAACTAGAGTGGGCAAATGCCTAAAGACAGAAAATAGAATGGTGGTTGCCAGGGGCCGGGGGATGGGGAATAGGGAGTTATTATTTAATGAGTCCAAAGTTTCAGTTTTGCAAGAGTTCTGGAGATTGGTTGCCTGTATAAGTTTTGAGCTGTATGCTTAAAAATAAGATGGGGCCAGCAGGTGGCATGGTAGTTAAGGTGCTAGACTCCCACAGGGTTGATCATGGTTCAAATCCCAGACCTGGTGACTTGCTTTTTCACTTTCCCTCTCTGGTGAGCACATGTCCCATAGCAAACTAAAAATAATAACAATAATAAATAAAATTAAATAAACAATTCTTTAAAAAATAGTTAAGACGGTAACTTTTATGTTATGTATTTTAGTACAATTGACTTTGTTAAAAATGCAGCATAAACCAAACACAAGAATGAAATCGATCCCTTAATGGCACAGACACTTCAGCCTGGCAGACACCTCAATAAAAACTCTTGCTTATAGTGCCAGATCATTTCCTTAATTATAAAATTATAGAATAAAACCAAAATTAGAGCACAGGAAGATTGTTTTTCTGGTGCAGTGAAGGGCAAACATCTGGCTGGTCAACTGCATTTGAGGCTGGAATGAGGAAGGGGGTCTACACCTTCCTCCACACTATCAAGACAAGATGCAGAGCCGCAGGACAGAGCACTGGGGCTTTTGATCTGCATGAAAGCCAGAGGCTGTCTAAATGGGTTGCTCTCTGGAATCGTACTTCTTTGAAGGCGCCAGACGAGCACATAGCTTGGATCACAGGGCAGTGCTACATCTGGTCTGGCCACTTACTGCAGCATCTGGGTGCCCCACCTCCCCACAGAGGTGACAAACCCAGTTCATGGCTCTGCAAGGCAGGTAATACTTCATAAGACGTCCAGGCATTTGGAGACATCGGGCCAAGATTCCAGGTCCTGAAGACCCAGCCTCCCAAATGCTCCGAGGAGAACTTCAAAGAGGCCTACGGAGCTGCGGGGCCCAATGTTCCCCATCCCAAACCCCAGGTTCTGTTGCAGTCCCCTGGAAGCAATGCTGAATCAGCCTGTGTTCATTTACAGACAGAGGCCTCATAAGCCTTTGATGTCAGCTGCATATGAGCTCATCCAGAGAGACTGCTGAGTGGGCTTTCTGGCTAGAGCCTTGTGGTCACCAGCCCTGCACCAGCTCGGGGTAAAGATGACTGGGAGACTGGGGATCCAGCGTCACTGAAGCTCCACGTGACTGTCCATGACTCCCTTCCCTCCTCTGGAGCTTCAGTGGTGTCTATGGATGCAGCTTAATGATTTCTCAGAAACTGTCCAGTCCTGATTTGCCAGGGTTCAAGAGAGCAACTTTCAGGTCCCAGGCAACTAAGAGGGACTGCTCTAGAACATCTCGTTATTAAAAAGTAAAAGAGGGACCAGCAGTTACCGTAATGGCTATGTTGTGAACTCCCATGTAGCCGACCGTTGTTCAAGTCCCGGAACCGGTGGCTTAAATTCACGCCAGGCGCGTGTGCGTGCGTGCCCAAGATCTCAAGAGGAGAATGGGGGAGAAGGGATTTCAGCATGGCCATCCTCCCTGGGGGGAGATTTCTCGCTTTCTATCTCTCTGTCTCTCTCTGTCTTTCTGGCAAGTGCACGTGCCCTATAGCAAAAACCTCTCCAAAAAAAAAAAAAAAAAATGAAAGTAGAAGACTGCTGAGCCTTTGCACCTTCCTCAAGCCACCTGCAGCTGGGGGTTCTATGACAAGGTGGAGCCATCCCTCACTGACACGTGATGGAGGGCACTCCCCTAAGGTTTTCTGTTCCTCTCCATGGGCGTCCATATGCCTGTCTTGCTGGAAAGGAGAGAGGAGATTCCTGGCCAGGTAATGATGGCAAAAGGACTGGGACGAGGTGACATGGTAGGGCACCTGTTCCAGAGGGACACAGTAGCCACAAATGTGGACTTTGGCCCTGCCTGAGAGGTGGTGAGCAAGGGGACAGACCTACTTACAAGACGAAGTGAAACCAGGCATCTGAGAGGATGGACTGCAGGTCCGAGGGCCTCAGCAAAAAAAAACCTAAGGCGGGAGGAAAGAAAACTGCACCTTCTTCGTGCCCCCGACTTGAGGAGCCACGGAGAGAGTGCTTCCCCAGGACTGAGACTCAGCGGGAAGTGGTGTGGAAAAGCCCAGCCAGAGCCCAGGTGAGGGATGCAGAAGGAGACTTGCATCTGGGGGACAGAGCTGACCTCATCATGGGAGCAGATGCTCCCTCAGATCTTACCTCTCTCACTCGTCCCCCATCCTCACCCCAGAACTTCCAGGCAGCACAGTCACTGCAGCTCCCTGCCATTTCCTGAGGAAGGCCCAGCTCTCCAGCCTCTGAGCCCTGTTCACTCCGTTCCCCCACCCACCCTGTAATGACCTTGTCCCAAGTGCCCTCAAGCCCAGTCCTACCCTTCAAAAGTGCCACCCCTGCCTTCGAGCCTCCTCCACCTCCCCTGTCCCCGATAAAAGTCATCTCCCTTCCTCTGAGCACTGTTCTGAACCTGACTTAGAGCCCAGTCTACCTTAAAGCCTAGCTCTTCATGCCCTTCTCAAATCCCCCACCCGATGTGAGTCCAAAGAAGGCAAACTCCCTCTGTCCTATACTCCCCCAGGGCCCCACACATAGAAGGTGTTCAGGATGTTCCTACTGAGTCACTGGATGGATGGATGGATAGACACATGGATAAACAGAAAGATGATTGGATGAAGAATGGAAAGATGGTGAGTAAGGATGCATGGTATCTGAATGGACCAATGAGTGTCTGGGCCGATGAGAGTCAGCAGGTGATTGGATAATGGAGGGGGAGGGGAGAGAAGATGTGCACTGAGTGGCTGGGAGGGGAGGTAAATGGTAGATGGTTGGGCAGGTGGATCGAGGGTAGATAGATGAAGTAGGAAGCATAGGCCCACCTCACTCATTTATTCCCACGTTATTACTCAGGAATCAAAGCCTTAGAAAGGACATGGGTCCCCAAAGCCCCAGCAGTAATGGGAAGAAGGAAGGACCAAGGCCAGGTCCTCTCTCAGCCACCTGACTGCCTCACAGGGCAGTGTGGAAGGGCTCAGTGCCCACCCACCTCTTTCACAGAGATACACATGGCCCAGATGAGCACGAACATCCTCCCTAAGAGCTGCAGCCACCCCATCTTGTGCGTCAGGGCCAGGGGGTGTGGGAGGGCCTGAGGAAGAAGAGAGACACATGGTCAGGATGGGGAATGCAGAGGGCAGGGTGGTAACAGCTCTGAAGGGACCAGAATGTGTACCGGAAGAAGCGTTAAACCCAGCTCTGTGGAGGGGCAGAGAAGCAATGGAGCTCCCTGCCTCCTGCCTTCCCCGCCCTCAGTGGGAACCCAGAATTCTACAGGCAGGAAGACAACCTGATCTATTCTAACGAGCCCTCGCACCCTGAGCACTTGTCCTTCCCAGAGCCCACCCATATCCAGATGCTCAGCAGGGCCTCACAACTCAGTTCAATAAAGCTGAGACTGTGCCCCATGCAATGAGTGGGAAATCAAGACCCGGGGTGGTGGGGATGCTTGTCTGAGGGACCGCCCCCTTCTCATGTTTCCTGTGGCCCTCACAACAGAAACTCCTAAGCACGTCTAGATGTAGACAGAGAGCCCAGGTGGGGTCAGGGTCTCCTAATTCTCCAGCTCTCCACCCAATACAGGTGCCCCCTAGAGCTGAACAGCTGGGGCTTAGCCCAGTCAGTACCAAGACATACTGTATTCAGTTTCCTAGAAACTGTGAAAGGTGACAAGGAGGACTCCACACAAGCCTCTTGGCCTCTCTGGGCCTCAGTTTCCCCATCTGTACATGGGGCAGCTTAGATGCACATGGCCCAGATAAGCACAAACTTCCTCCCTAAGAGCTGCAGCCACCCCATCTTGTGTGTCAGGGCCAGGGAGTGTGGGCGGGCCAGTTCCCCAGCTCTATTTCCCCAGGGGCCCACATACCTCCTGCTCCCGGGGACGGTAGTAAGAGACGAGGGTCAGGGTGATGTTGTAGAAGAAATAAAAGCAGAAGGACAGGAAGAACATGTACTTGGCAAATTTCTTCCACTTCATATGCAGCAGCGTGTGCAGAGGCTCCAGGGTCAGCATCTCATGCCGGTTCTAGGGGTCGGACACCACAACTCACCATGGAGATGAGAGAAAGGGGGAGGGAGCATTTGCCAAGGGACCACTGGGAGCTGAGTCTGCACCGCCCCTGGCAGAAGGGGACAGACAATGGACTGGATGGGCTGATGTCAGGAGGGTCATTTCTGGCTCCTGAGTCCCCTTCCCTGTGTACACCTCAGGAGCCCAGGGTTTCCAGCAGGAAGGTCTGAGGGCTTGGCGAGGGTTGGGGGCAGAGACTGAGGTTGCAGCCTCAGTTTGCATCCCCTCCCCTCACTGTGTGACCTTAGGTCAGCTCTCAACTAAAGGGCTGAAGCCCTTCATCTATAAATCTGATAACAATTCCTGCACTACCAGCCAGACTGTGGTGGGAGTCCAGGGAGACCCCAGACAAGGCAGGCTCTAGGAAGCAGGATTCTTGATAAAATATGAAGAAGGAACACCCGGCCTGCTGCCTCACTTCCTCCCAAGGGCTAAAACCCTCTCTGAGCTGATCCTTTCTCTACACCACCAGTTTCACTGACCTCCCTCCTCTGGCCTCCTCCAGAAAGGCTCCCCTGATTGCTCCAGCTGTACATGCCCTGACCCTCTACTGGTACCAGGTTTGGGGGATGAAAGGATTCCAAACCTGGCCTATATACTAGCAGGGGGAATGAGAGGAAAGTAGGATGGAGACAATCGATACCAACCACCTCCTCACTCAAGCCCAGCAGTCTGGGGCCAGAAGACCCCTACTACCACTCAGGTCTACAATCCAAAGTCAGCCTGGAACCGCTGAGCTCAGCCTGGGCCCTAGGTCCTGCCCGTTCTGTGCCGGATTGCCCATGGAGGCAAGAGAATGGGGGACTACGGGGCTAGTGGTACAGTCTTCCCAGTGCCCTCGCCTGCGGTCCAGCCTCTGCTCCCTGCCCTGCCCAGGAGACGCACGTCGATGTTGGTGTTGTAGACAATGATTTCCAGCACTGAGTTGTCCGTCGTGGTGTCCACATTGGTGAGGTCGTACAGCGAGGACGACACGGGCCCATACGCCCAGTCGGTAAACTTCCTAGACAGACTCCGGAGTGGCTTCTCCTTGATCTCACGACTGAGGATGTACTTCAGGATCTGGGGAGAGACGGGCGCCACTGTCAACCACAGAACAGGGTGGGGCCAGCCAGAGCAGGTGGCACCAGGGAAGATGCTCCCATCAAGCATGGATTGAGTCTCGCCTCTGTGCCTGATGCCGTGACCCTGGGCCAGCCGTACCTGTGAGATGCATGGGAGGTTTGCAGTCCTGCCCATCTCACCAGGGACTGTGACTATTAGACAATAGGTGAAGGGCCCTTAGCACACTGCAGAGAGCTGCACAATCGCTGGTAAACCCTTGCGCCAATGGGGGACTCGGTGAAGAATGCAGGAAGTGACCATTTTTCAAAATAATTTCTATTTGACCTGCTCTTGAGAAGCAGCTGGATGTGTTCCCAGCTTCCACATCCTACCTTCAGTCAAGGCCCCTCCCTCCAGTCAAGGCCCCTCCAGCCGAGGTTTGCCACTCTGGCCATGCACACGGTGATGCATGAGACCCGTGGGACCCGCTCTGCAGGTCCTCAACCCTCCAACTCTGGGCCCCTGGGGAGTTTTGCTTTTGTTTTTGTTTTTGTTTTAATATGTTAAAAAGTACATGTACTGACCAGAGAGAGACAGAGACAGAGAAAGAAATAAAATGAGAATACACCCCCATACAATGGGAGTGGTCATGCCACAATCCCTTTTCCTACATTTCTCCCTCCTTTCAGAATGTTGGGTACACACACACCTGCACGCACACACGCATCCAGTGTGTTTCTCAAGCTGCCACACCTAGGACTCAGACCACATGGCCAGCTATGTGGGATCCAGCTGCCTTAACCACCAGGCCATGGCCTGACCCACTGGGGAGCTTTTAAAAATTCCACACCAGTAACTATAAAATCCAAATCTCCAGAGTCAAATCCCAAGAGTCTTATTTGGAAAACTTCCTGGTGTTTTGGAAGCTCAGGCTAGACAGGGAGCCAGTGCTCTCCCGCTCGCTACTCTGAAAGCTGAGCCCTGGCTTATCCTAGGATGGCAACCGGGGCCCTGGGGTGCCAACCCAAGAGGAAGAGCCTGTTGAGGAGGACTGTGTCCAAGCACTGATCCCACATAACCCAGTGGGATTCCATCCCATCTCACATGACAGCCTTGTCTCCAGAGCCCAAGCAGAGAGTGCCTCTGAATAGAGCCGGGTCTCCTCATCTTGTACCCCAGCCTATAAAAACCCCAAGGGCAGGGAATCAGCAGTTGGCATAATGGCTATGAGGCTGGACTCTTATGTAGTCGACCGTGGTCTGAGTTCTGGACCCGGTGGTTTAAACACGCCGGGCGCGTGTGCGTCCGTGCCCAAGATCCCAAGAGGAGAAAGAAGGAGAAGGGATTGTGGCGTGGCCATCTCCCCAGGGGGTGATTTCTTGCTTTCTGTCTGTCTGTCTCTCTCTGTCTTTCTGGCAAGCCCACACACCCTATAGCAAAAACCTCTCAAAAAAAAAAAAAAAGCCCAGGGGCAGAGTCCTGCATCTGAAGCATTGCTGCACCCTTCATGCTCACCAAGTGGCAACTTGGGCAGCATCCAGAAAAAGCTTTCTGAAGGACACTGGATAAAGGAGAAACAGAGCTGGGTAGGGTGCAAGTGTCTCTCCTAGGCTGGCCATGATGGACATGTTATCCTCTAAAGAACAAAGAGGTTGGAGACCATGTTCTGTGCAGGAAATGTCCTTCCTGGGCTGGGGTGGCAGGGACAGCACATACCACAGGGGCATGCAGGGAAGTGGCCCTTGGAGGAAGCTGGAGCTGCAACCACAATTTGACCTTCCTCAGAGCTCCCAGCAAGCTGTGACCCTGGGTGTGGGCCGCATAGAGGGAAGACACAATTCCTTCTCTGTTCAAGTCACTCTGCATCTTCTCCTTCCCCCACAACAGAATAAAAAGGTCCCTTGTGGGCCCCAGCCCTGACCGTTGGGACAGGACCCAAGGTCCCCGCAGCTGACTGGGGAGGCTGGTGCCCTGAGGCTGGTACGGCTGTTGATCACTCAACAGCACCACCCACCCAGCGCCCTCCTGCACCTCCCCCACAGTCCCCTCCTGGGGCTGAGGAACAGCTTAGACCCCAGGATCTGACCCCTGAGAAGGGAAACGAGTCCTGAGCTTGATCTCAAACCAGGTGACGACACCAGCCACTGAGAGAGATCTGAGCCCTGCCATGCCCGAGTTTGCATCAAGACTTCCAGCCTCAGCTTAGCATGAGCTCCTTGGCCACATCACACAAGACACCGAGCAGCCACACTCCCCTGGGGGTGTGGCTCCTGGTTTCCACCTGGGAGACAGGTGAGGTCTTCCCAGAAGAGAGATCATTGGCTGTGACTCACAGCAGCCATTCCTGAATTCCTGCCTCATCAGAGTTGGGAGCCTCAAAGGATGGACACTCCCCTCTGCCCAGATGCCTCACCTCACAGGAATTCTCCACCACAGAGCATGTGAGACACTGTCACCTTGGACTTGTGGTCTCCCAGTATGGCTCCAGCAAAGGGGGCCCACGGCAAGAGACAGAAACACAGGCTTTTGGAACTGAAGTGGGCCCACGTACCGTGTCACATTGGCGCTGCGTGGTCACTTGGAACAAAGCCCCCACAGGCTACAGCTGCACTTTCAGACCTACAGCTGAGACCTTCCCAGCTGAGGCTGTGGTCTGAAATCCCCAGACGGAGCCCCTAGCCAGGGCTTGTGAATGCCTCCCAGACCTCCCACCAGCCCACCAGTGTGGCCCAGCAGAGCCCAGCACGGTCCACCTCGGCCCAGCATGGCACATCAGAGCCCACCTCAGCCCACCTCGGCCCACCTCGGCCCACCTCGGCCCACCTCGGCCCACCTCAGCCCACCACGGCCCACAACGGCCCACCACGGCCCACCACGACCCACCACGGCCCCACCACAGCCACCACGGCCCACCTCGGCCTTGCCCATCTTGGCTGCCAGCTGCAGCGGCGTGAGGCCATCCTTGTTGCGCATGGTCTCCAGCTCCCAGTTGCCGCTCCTCAGCAGGATCATGTCATACATGTGCTTGACAAAGTCATTCTGCGTCTTGAAGTCCTCGGCCACGGTCACCAGCGCATGCAGGATGTTGTTTCCCCGGGAGTCCTGCGAGGTGATGTCGGTCTGCTCATTCTCCATCAGCAGCTGCACAATCTCGGGCTGGTTGGTGCAGGCCGCCAGGGCCAGGGGGGTCTCCCCTGCGGAAAGGGGAGTGCTAGGGCTCTCTCGTGGGCTAGAAGCAGTGTCCCTCGTGTCCCAGGACCAAGGTTCAAATTTAGTGGGACTGAATTCTGAGTTCCCCTGGCCATTTCCCCATCTCTCACTCACACAGTGGGGAGACTGAAGCTCCATCACTGTAGTGGCCTCCTAACCAATCCCCCTGCTTTCACTCTGGTCCTCCAACATGTAGCACAGCAGCCCGCAAACCCTCTTCAGTCCCACCTCTCCCAAGACAGAAGCTCAAGTTCCAGTGACAGCCACGAAGCCCTAGTCTTCTGACCTTTCCTCCTCTCTCCATCTCCCCTACACTCACTCCCCCTTCACTCACAGTGGCCTTCCTCCTCCTCCTCCTCGGGATGCATCGGGCATTCCCCACCTCAGGGCCTTCGCACAGACCACTCCCTCTGCCTGCAGATCTGTCTGCATCCTCACTCCCTCACCTCCTTCGAGTCTGCTCAAACATCACCTTTTCAGCGAGTCGCCCTAACCACTCTATTTAAAATGGAAACCCATTTCCCTCCTGTCCAGACAAAACTCCTGGGTCGTCTTCCCCTGCTGTGTGTTGCAGTTTTTCAATAGCACTTAACCATTTTCTACATTGTACAGAACATTCTTACTTACATGTTCAATTTCGAGGAGCTCCCTCCCCACCTGTAATGTAAACTCCATGAGAGTAGGGGTCTTTGTGTTGTTCACTGACAGACTTCAAGCACCTAGAACAGTGCCTGATGTCGATGTAAGTGCTCAATAAATGTTTGCTAAGAAGGGAGAAGGTAGGACCAGCAGATGGTGCAGTGGTTACATGGCTGGACTCCCATGTAGTTGACTGGGTTTTGAGTCCCAAACCTGGCGGCTTAAAGCTCACACCGGGTGCACGTGCATGCATGCTCAAAATCCCAAGAGGAGAATGGAGGAGAAGGGATTGTGGTGGGACCATTCCCCCGGGGTGTGATTTCTCACTTTCTGTCTCTCTGTCTCTGTCAAGCGCACACACCCTATAGCAAAAAATCTCTCTTAAAAAAAAAAAAAAGAAAGAAAGAAAGAAATAGGGACCAGCAGTTGGTGTAATGGCTATGTCGCTGGATTCCCATGTAGTCGACCGCGGTTCAAGTCCCAGACCCGGTGGCTTAAACTCACACCAGGCACGTGGGAATGTATGCCCAAGATCCCGGGAGGAGAATGGAGGAGAAGGGATTGTGGTGGGACCATTCCCCCGGGGTGTGATTTCTCACTTTCTGTCTCTCTGTCTCTGTCAAGCGCACACACCCTATAGCAAAAACCTCTCCAAATAAGAAAGAAAGAAAAGAAAGGAGAAGGCAGGAGACTCACACAGGGTTACACAGCAAGCCTGAGACAGAACCAGGACTGAACACCAGGTGTCCCACTGCCTCCCTCCCCTTCTTCTCCCTCCTTTTCCCTGTGTTCATCTCATCGAACAAATGCACCCCAGCACAGGATTCTCCAGGTCCTATGGATGACAGGAGCATAAAATGAACTGGACAAGACCCTGTCCTCAAGGACACCCAGACCCATCCAGCCTTGCTGAAAGATACCCAGAAAACAAGTCAGTTGTGGGGGTGGGGTGGGAAGAGCAGACAGAAGGAGGGTTAACTACGCAGGTGCCTAAGTTAGAGAAAATGTTTGCTGCAGAGGCGTTGTTCGTCCTGCTGTGACTGCGGTGGAGGTCACACAGCTGCGTGCGTTTGTGGAGATGAGCAGACTGTGCACTAACATGGGTGAGCTTCACGGTGTCTCGATTACACCTGTAACATTTTTTTTGTTCGCCCAGAGCGTCCTAACCCTAAGTGCGATCAGTCTGGGGATGCCGATGCTCTCACTTCTGACTCTTTGACCAGTCCTGAGAGCCACAGGGGACAGAGACCAGCGCTGGATGCCAGGACACCTACATCAGCCCCTTCCCACACTGGGGTGAGTCATTTCCCTTCTCAGAACCTTCTCCTCATCTGTAAAATGGGCTGTCTCGGTCCCCCTCCCAGGCATCTGTTCTTATAGATGACTGTGCCTTCTAAGACCACCAGGTGACACTGCCGGACTAAGGGACTCTCCACCCCACTCAGCTCCCCACCTTCTCCCTCTCCATCTGCCCTGGCCGTCGCCCCAGCCCCCTTCCTGGCTCTGCCCCAGTGGCCGCGTCCAGTCCACCTGGCTCAGGGTAGGGCCCCTCCCGCCTCTCTACCGCAGGACCCGGCGCCCCAGCGCCCCCGGGAGCCGGCTGCACCCACCGAAGTAAAAGCCTTCGTGCTGGGACTTGGGGTTGAAGAAGACGCCCTTGGCATGCGCGTTGACGTCGGCGCCGGCCGCTATGAGCACCGCGGTGATGTCTCCCTGCCCCCGCTCGATGGCGATGTTGAGCGCCGTCTGCCCTGAGAGCGGAAGGGACGCGGGGCGCTCAGAGCCTGGGACCCCAGCTGCGACCTACCTCCTCGCCTTCTTCCCGGATCCGGCCTCACGCCCTCCGCGCACCGTGGGGAAGGAACACTGCCTGCCGGTGCCGCCCGGCTAGTCCCTACTTCGTGCCGCGCTTCACTCAGGCATACCCCGACCAGGGAACATGGGGTGCAATTTTAATCCTCTGCCCCCAGAATCTCACAGCCTCACTGAGAATGAGGTGCTATGACAGAGAGAGCAGCGTAAGCAGATCTCAGCCCCAGGGGTGGGGAGGAGAGGTGGGATTTCCCAGAAACTGATTATTTAAAATAGTTCATAGCATATTAAAAAACCCCTACAAATCAGTAAAAAGGTGAATAACCTAAAAGAAAACCGAGAACATGTTATAAGCACCTCCCAGAGGAGAGAAGATAAACAATCAATAAGCGAAATGAAACGTGCAGTAATCAGGAAATTAAAATCAGAACCTGAAGTTGACACTTTTTGCATACCAGATTGACAGAGAAAAAATAAAAAAATAAAAATAAAAAAAAAGAAGTTGGATAATTTCCAGTATTAGTGACAGGTCCAGAAATGAGTGTTTTTGTACCCTATTGTGGGGGAGAGTACATTAGTATCCTTTGGAGCCAAATTTGGCAATAACTATGATAATTTTAATTATGCATGCCCTTGAACCCAAATAGTCCAAAACTGCGGTCTGCCATGTGCAGTACGGTCTGCGATATTGACATAGAGAAAAACTGGAAACCATCTGTTAAGAAAGAAATGGTGGAGGACCCAGCAGATAGCGTAATGGTTACACCACTGGACTCCCACATAGTTGATCGTGGTTCAAGTCCTGGACCCGGTGGCTTAAAACTCACACAGGGCATGTGTACGCGTGCGCCCAAAATCCCAAGAGGAGAGTGGAGGAGAAGGAATTGTGGCAGGGCCATCCCCCTCAGGGATGAATTCTCACTTTCTGTCTCTCTTTCTGGAGAGCACACATACCCTATAGCAAAAATCTCTCTTAAAAAAAAAAAAAGAAGGAAGAAGAAAAAGAAAGAAAGAAAGGACGAAAGAAAGAAAGAAAGAAAGGACGAAAGAAAGAAAGAAAGAAAGAAAGAAAGAAAGAAAGAAAGAAAGAAAGAAAGAAAGAAAGAAAGAAAGAAAGAAAGAATGGGGCCAGCCAGTAAGTGGTCTGGTGGTTAGGGCACTGCACTCCCACATGGCAGACAGCAGTTTGAATCTTAGACCTGGCTGCTTGCTTTCTCATTTTTCCCTCTCTCTCTCTCTTTCTGTTTCTCTCTGGTAAGTACATGTACCCTATAGCAAATTTTAAAATAATAATAATTCATAGAATTAAAATAAATATTTTTTAAAGAAAGAAGAATGGTGAAATTAGTTGTGCTATAGGGTACTGCAGACTATTAAAATAAATAGTTTTTTAGAGAAAGAATGGTAAAATTAGTTGTGCTATAGGGTACTGCAGACTAATTTGGTGGAAAGAAGCTAAGCTTTCATACTCTGGCACAAGAAGGTCTCTAGGACATAGAGTCAAAAGCAAGCAGGTATAGAACAATGCAGTTATTTCATGTTAAATAATATTGGGTCGTCAGGAAAGTCAAGACTCATTTTTGCGTAGAAAAATACATCATGACTTTGCCAACGACTTAATAAGTAAAACTATTTCTACATCCACATACACACACATCAAAGGGCTAGAAAACACTTCAAAGGAAACTAAGAGTGGGAGACACGTAAAGGTTTTGACTTTTTTTTAGAGAGGTTTTTGCTACAGGGTGTGTGCACTCACCAGAGAGACAGAGAGAGACAGAGCGACAGAAAGCAAGAAATCAACCCCGCCGGGGGTATGGTCACGCCACAATCCTTTCTCCTCCATTCTCCTCTTGGAATTTTGCCCACACACTGACATGTGCCTGGCATGAGTTTTAAGCTGCCCAGTCTGAGATTCAAAGTGTAGTCGACTACGTAGGACTCCAGTGAGTAACCATTACACCATCTGCTGGTCCCAAGGGTTTTGATTTTAATTTATCTAAAATGTTGGAATGATGTTTTACAGTGACATTCTATTCATGCATTATTTACATAATAAAAATAAATCATCAGGTTGAATATGAATTATGAATGTATAGAGGCTCAGTATGCTGTCTTACCTTTTATACTTAAAACTTTTAAATAAAAGTGTTTTCACTGGGCCAGCAGGTGGCATGAAGGTTAAGGGTCTGGATCCCACATGGCTAACTTTGCAATTGGAGTCCCAGACCCACCAACTTGAAAATCACAATGGACATATGTTCATGCATGCCCAAAATTCAGAGAAGAGAATGGAGGAGAAGGAATTGTAACATAGTCATCCACCCT